TCACGTTTCCGATCCGTTGGTAGATTCTGCGAAGCACTGCTCTTGCTAGGACCAGTGTTAGTAAACACTCCGGTTTGAGCCCCGTGAGCTCACCTACACTTTAGGGCGTAGCCTCTCAAGGCTATCAGCTTAAGTAGAATAAAAAAAAAGATGAACAATTGTTCAATTATTATTATTGTTTAATCCCTACCTAGGCGCTAATAGCCTAAGGGGACATTACAGCTACGCACTGACTGGTAAGTGAGCTCGCAGGGCTGAACCTGAGAAAGTTTACTAATACTGGCCCGAGCAAGAGCAATGTTTCGCAGAATCTATCACTGGATCTTATTTGCTATTCATAAAAAAGATTGGTACTCTTTTAAACGATTCAGTTATTACCAGAAACATGCGGAAGGCAGTTTTAATATTACAATACCTAATTATAATCATGAACACTTTTAAGGCTTGTGAAAATTGTGCATAGATTAAATATTTAAAAAAAACTGCGCTGCTTTATGTCCAGTTGTATATAATTGTCATAGAAAGCTAAATTCAATAACTATTTCGGAACTATGAAGCAGTGATGCGTTTCGGTTCGAAGGGTGGGGCAGTCGTTGTAACTATTCTTGAGACCTTAGAACTTATATCTCAAGGTGGGTGGCGAATTTACGTTGTAGATATCTATGGGCTTCAGTAACCACTTAACGCCAGGTGGGCCGTGAACTCGGCCACCCATCAAAGCAATAAATTTTTTGAAGTAAAACTTCTTTAGGCGCATGAGGGTAAAATTTTTACAGAACGTCACGCAGGTATGCAACGGAAGTGTCATCAAACTACTATTGAAAATAAGTACTTGTCAAATGTCAGTAGTAGTAGTTGTTGTATTTTTCCAACTGGAAAGGCAAATGTATCATACCATACAGCCTAATATTTTATAATTTTTTTGTGAAAAATGTTAATAGGAATTGAAATGAAATGAAAAGAATTTGGAACATTAATCAAATAGCATGAAATTAAATTAGTCAATTCAATTGGCAAAATATTAGTCATTTACAATTTAGAAATCTAAACATAATGTGACTGTCAACACTGAGGTTTGAGATTGACATTTGACAGACTTTTGGCGGGAAGATATCTTCCTTTTCCCTTCCTCTAAGTCTCGGAAATCTAAAGTTTTAGATTTGTATAAATATAAGCAAGACTTATAAATTAGTTCGCCAAAAAAGTTTCGCTTCTGACATATTGTGTACTTTGTACGCACGCACTTTTTTTTCCAGTACGAATTTTTACTTATTTAGTTACCAAATTACAACCAAAACTGAAGTTAAGTTGATTTTAGGTGTAGGTGTGTTCTAGATGTTTAAACTAATATCATATTCAAGGTGAAGGTAGGTGGCAGAATTATGGCCATAAAACATGTATTGGTTACCACTTAATACCAGGTGAGCCGTGAGCTTACCTGCTCATCAAGAACATCATATGAAAACTAAAATTATAGAATTGTAACAAAAGGCTTGTGGAGAGTACCTACTTAAAGGTAGGCAGCAGGTTAGCTCTGCCCTTTGCATTGTTGACGTCCATGGGCGATGGGAACCCCTCACCATAGTGGCACTCACCCAAACATACATACTTTCATTATTTACTTAGATACAATTTTACATTTCATATGTCATATTATTACCATAATTGTGAGATCGACTTCATGTCTCCGGGTGTTGTTTATACATAATATATCCCAGATTCGCAGATCACATCTGACGATTTTTTGGATTTAAATTTGTGCTTGTTAAACCTGAAATTCAGGACCAAAGCCTGAAAGCGAACACAAACAAAAGCCGTTAATTAGGAGTCACACATATTAAGCTAAGAAAATCGCGACATTCAGAGATAATCCAAAAACTACGAGGTCAATAATGAAATCCTTACGACGCGACGAGAATTAAAAGGTGATGATATACATAATAATATTAGTTTTATATGGAAATTTTGAAAAGGTCAGGTAAAAATGTAAGATGAACTCCATTCATTTATTTGAATCGTACAAGTTCGTCATGTTAATGTTAACGAAAAAAAAAACAGTTATTATTTCGCGTTTTAGAGACATGCGCCTTAAACGCTTTGACTACACGCCAAAAAAAAAAAAAAGTAAAGCCGGACTTAGCGCCCGCAGTCGTTTTGGCACACTAGCCCGGATCTGTTCGGTGATTATGTCATGCAACTCGATTCCGAAACCCCGTTCGTTATTGCGTTCTCTACAAACAAATATCAAAATTTTATTGTCATGAAGAAAGTCGAACCAGACGCGTTGTGGAGGGGCCTGGGATATTTCTGGAAGGTCACACGGTCATGTTGTTGATTTGTAGTTAATGCAAAACGCATATAGCGATTCTCGTGTACTCAAGGAATAAATACACTTGAAATTTAAAATGCATTTGCTAAATGCTGAATAACATAAATACAATTTCCACTTCGTTCGGTACTATTTTAAAACGTGATTATTTCTAGAAATATACCGCGAAAGTCTTGACCTATTTATTTCAAGAGGTTCCACCTTTATTTATCAATTCATTATTAGTACAAATAACCTTGAATAATTCATTCAATTTTATAACGTATTGCACTACGATACACTAAGAAATTTTATTTTACTCTAAGAATTTCCTAACGTTTCCCTTTTCTTAAATTGTATTTATAGATATGCCTTCTAATCTCCACATGGCTGAACAAATGTTACTGTACATTGTGGCAATATAGAATTTAACATAATTTAAAATCATTTAACCTAAAAAGATAAAGTCGAGATAATTTGAATTCACAGTAGTAAAAATAAACTATGAAAATCTATTAAGGCGCATTACCTCACTGCGAGTCCGACGCGATTCGCTATTGAAAGATATGGCTCATTGGCACACTTTGCCGTTATTTTTGGAAAATAACAACCGATAAATGATCGCACGTAACAAACGGGTCAAATAAGAAGTGACCGCCGCTGCAATCAAATCTGGAACCAAGCCTTTTTCTTTAAAACTTAATGTGTTTTATTTTTCTAAACGGAGCTTTGTTTCTAGGTGAGTGAGAGTAGAAGAGTGGGTAGATTACCTTAGTTAATAAAAATTTAGGAGCGCGTGGGTGTATCGCAGTCATGCATTATTATTTTGTTGATATATATATATACATCCATTCATGAAATTTTAACAACACTTCTTTATACTTTACGTAGCTAAAACTAAAACATCATTAATGTTAGAGATTCTGATGCCAGTTTCTAAAATTACGTGTCGATGCGATTAAATTAAATGTGAAACTAGTTATTTGGTTTTTATTTTGATGACGGTCTAATAAATAAATGTACATTGTATACAAGAGGTCATTCGGTATAATTCATAGTCGGTTCAGTAAATGTACAATACTTCCAAATAGTAATAAATTTGAAAAAAATTAAATGGGTGCCGAGAGCACGTCAGCTCGACTATTGCATTGAAAATAAAATGATCACGCCTTCACGGTTCGTTGACCGCTATAAAATGACCTTCTTCATAGGCAGTTTGCTGATGTCCATAAGCGACCAGATGGCAATGATCGCTACTGATGTCACGCTGAAATAACAGTTTGTTAATAGTAGTTTTCCGATTCGTTAACTTGCACACTATACTAACAAGAAGTAATTAAATCGTGCCTTACATATTATCGCACTTTTAAATTGAAATGATAATATACTGATATGGGTTTCTTTCGGTTTATTCTCAGTCTAACGTTTGTGATATATATCTTTATATCACAATATTATATGTATATTATTACGTGTATTTATCAATATAATAAGCGAATTTTTTTCGATCTGTTCCACAAAATCTATGAATTCATTGAGAAAATTAACTTTTAAAACCGAAAGACAGACATTTTTGTGAATGGTGGTCGGACCTCATGTGAGTCCACACGGGTAGGTACCACCACCCCGCCTATTTCTGCTGTGAAGCAGTTGCGTTTCGGCTTGAAGGGTGGGGCAGCCGTTGTAACTACACTGAGACCTTAGAACTTATATCTCAAGGTGGGTGGCGCCTTTAAGTTGTAAATGTCTATGGGCTCCAGTAACCACTTAACACCAGGTGGGCTGTGAGCTCGTCCACCCATCTAAGCAATAAAAAAATAGACATATATTTCAGTATTTCGAAATTTCCACGAAGTTAACTCCCAAGTGAGGACATTTAAATTTAACTCAACGTCTAACTGCATCAGTGGAAGTGGTCAATCATTCTAGTTACTCGCGACGATTAGTTGGATAGGTACGCTACAGTACAGGGACTCGGCAGGCTGCAATTACCACGCGTTATGTAATATCCTGTTTTTAAGCTTGTGCTTTCTAAGTGGAATGGAAAAGGAAAAATGTCAAATGAAAGCTCGTAATTTCAATGGTAAAAGCATTTAGTGTTTACTTCGATTTTCGCGAATCGTAAGCATAATAATGAAAAAGAAATATCTGACGTTTTCTACGTTTAGCGCTTAGCAACAAAAGAATTTAAGCATGAAACAGCTGAAATGAAATATATGGAAAACATTTAATGCTCTGATGTGGAAATAAAGTTTTTTTATGACGTCCTTAAACCGCGTTATTTGATTTTCATAAAATTTTCAACACATTTTGCATATAGAAATAATATAAAGAGCTATATCTCAAGGTAATCTGAGGGATAACATCAGTGTTATCAGTTATTAAATGTCAACGTATGAAGGTGCACCTGTATTGACTAATTTTGATATCAGTGCTTGTGTTTTGTAAATTGTTTTTTTTACAATTAATGTGTTTTGTGTGATTAAAAGCGTAAATCAATGTGTGATTGTTTTGCATACAATGGTATCGCCAGTGCCTTAATCGGAGAACCGTAGTTTTTTCGACATCCTCCGTTATCCTTCCCTAACATAGTCAAGGTGTGTGTGTGCGCAATTTCAATTAGTATTATATTATTGAATTAATGTGCAATGATAATACAAAAGAACAGAATCGACCGGGCGATGGTAGCGACGTGCGGGCTCCCTACGCAGCGATATACCGGCGGCACCGCGCGCGCTCCACTCGCATACACATCTCCGCGTAAAAATAAAGTCGACACTGCGCGCTCGCGTACTTCAACCCATTTATAATTATCAGTAAATCGCCGCGCGAGTGCACGACTGCCGCGGCCGGCGAACGTTCGTCGTTTCTTTTCGATTACCGGCGCTAGCTCCTCTGATCCGAGTCAGTCGACCCTGTTACGCGAGCCCTTGTACTAACAATATAAATTATCGGCCTAAAACTAGCGATTCCGACAACGCGCAGGGCTTACTTCGTCGAGAACGTTACTAACTCCTACGCTACGGATACCGGTATCGTAAGCGCGAAGCCGTGAATCGACGGACGACGACTGTTTTGTGATATGATCGTGTTGTGTTAGTGATAACAGTGTAAGGATCTTAAACATGCCCGAAAAACCGAAGCGACGTAAAAATAAAAATAAACGTAAAAATAAACACAATCAACAGAATAGTAACGGTGAGAAAAATGCTTGTGAGACTTCAGCAATTGAGAGTTCCCTAAGTGATAATCAAAACTCTGAAACTAGTACAACTTTGTGTGAAATTGATAATGTTTCTTCGTGCAGCAAAAGCTGCAATAACACAAATTTGTTAAGTCCTAGCGGTGCTGCTGTTCAAACGAAAGAGGTCATCACTCAAGAAGTGAGTGAAGGCGAACAATGCGATTTAATTGAAACAGTGAATGAAAACATATCAGACTTAAATGACAATATTCACGAAATTCAAACTTACATTGTAGAAACTCCGGAACAAAAGAAACCTACACCAAAAATATCGAATTCCGTAAAAAGTAAAAGCCTAGACAATGATGATGATCCTAAAATTGTCGAAATAACCGATGACACACTATTAGTTTCTGAATCATGTAATATACCCATAATCGATTGTAGTAATGTGATTGTTACAGACGTTGACTCAGATGTAGGTTGGGAAAAAATTGATGAATTGAAAACACGTAATCCATTTACCGGAGAAGTTGCTACTGAAAGTATTTCAATAACTACGCTACCTCTTAATGTGGCTCAGTGCGAAAATATAAAATCATTAACTCCTGATCAAGAAGCATCGTTGCGAAATTATTTGAAAACACTTAATCTTTCGACAAGTCCAGATAATCTTAATTCTATAGAAATTAAAACTGAAATCGAACAGATTATAAATCGTGAAGTAAAACACAGATTGCGTAAAAAAGCATCGGCCGATGATAGTTTTCCACAAAAGCTTTGTCCTCCAAGAATGCTAGATGTTATTGATGAAGAAGGTAGTAGTGAATCATCTATGACTTCTCGCCGCCATTCATATTTGAGTGAAAAAAGAAGTGACTTTGAAGATTTAGAAGATGACGTTTTTGAAGATACAAATGCTATAAAAGAGAAATTTGCTGCAAAACCACCAGTAGCCTTACGCAACAAATCATTAGGCCGTCTTGTTACTCAAGAATGTGTTTTAGTTGATGCCAAAATAAAGGAACCTGAAGTGAGTGAAGCTCGAGGCGACTGGACTATGAAAACTGTTGAAAAATTATCCGGTGCTGAAGTAGTATATTTAACTGATTCGTCAAGCAGTACCAGCTCTATACATGAAATAGAGGAAGAGACAGATGATAGTATCGATACAGATGTTTCTGTGCGTATGATTACACCAACAATCGAAGTAATTGATACTGAACATTTGCTGAAGAAAAACTTTTTATCTTCTGGACAAAATATATCCGACGACCATAATACTTCTCAATTAGAAAGTCAGGATGTAATGGAAAATAAACGTATCAATAATGAACGATTTATTAAAATTGAATTAGAGAAAAATACCACGGAAGACCTCCCTACTACTTCAACCAAAGAAATGCCAGAATCACACGAAATTGTTGTTTTATCAACGGACAACATTAACACAAATCTGTATGTTAAAGAATTAGGCGATGAAATTGAAAAACTTGAGAGTATTTGTAAATCAAGTGGTTCAGAAAGTACTAAAAATTTAAATGAGACTACTAAGCGTGACACCAAATTTGATTTGGAAATAAAAGTGATTAAATGTGAATTAAACGATGCTTTCAATAACTTGATAAAAGAAGTTACGTCTGATTCAGAAAGTTCAAATGATTTTCAAAATTGCAAAGAAAATTTTACCAGACAAGATTCTTCGAGTAGCGTTTGTTCTTCACAAAGCACAGCTAAATATAACCCTACGTCTACATCTTTGAATGACATATCTGATTTACATAACGACGAAGCATCTGAGAGTACTGCAAACGATAACATATGTGTTAAGGTCAAAGATAAGACACATTCTAATGTATCCAGCCATGTTAATGATGTTATAGAGCATGTTACAGGAGAATCTAAATCTTATTTGACTAATGAAGGTTGTAGCATACAGCATCCGAATACGTTAAGAGAAATTAGTGTAAAGAAAATTGCATCTTTGCCATATGGAGACAAAATTTTAGAGGAATTAGCCTCCGTTTCGGAACGTTTACAAAATGTCAGTATCAACAAAATGAGTCCTACTAAAAAAACATATAGTTCGAAAGATTCTCATCCGTCGTCGAAGCAAACTACAATTAATGCACCTCCTCCAATAAAGCCTCGTGTTTCTTCGTTAAAAAAGCCACTAGAAAATGAGCATAATGTTGATGTCGCACCAAAATCTGAACCAAAACTATTGTCTATGTCCCCGTCGCAAAAGATGCTAATGGAAAAAACTAATTCGACTGCAACAACGCGTGATAACGTCGGAAGGCGCACTGAACAATATAGTAAAAAAATCACCAATGAGGAATTCAAAATTGATTCTCGGGATGTTTTTCAAAATACAGAACATAATCTTAATACTAATACTCTCACGCCTTTAAAATCACAAACCGGAAGCCGTTTATTAGCTTTAATATGCGACCCGACCATCACCTCAAATGTAAATTCATTAAAAACACGTTGTGACAATAGTTTTACACAGACACAAAATAATCTATCATATCGACAATTGTCGAAAGAAAAAAATGATTTCAAGGCAAGTCATCTTATGCGTGAACTATCTGGTACATTCAAGCCAATTCCGCCTCCTCGACCGAGAAAAATTTCATTAGGATTCTATGAAAGTGATGATAATTCTGATTTTGCTGAAAACTCTCTGCGTTCTATTAAAACTGAGACAAAGAAGTTTCATTTTTCAACTGGCAATTTGAATAAAGAAATTGAGAGCGACATATCTTCCATTCAGAATATGCACAGATTTTATACAAATGTCAGAGATAAAACAATTGATTATGATAAACCTAGAAGACCTTCGTTACCAAAGGATCTATGCGAACAACAAATGGAATACATACGACAGAAAGAGAAAGAGGTAGAAGCAGAAATTCAACGATTGGAGAATCAGTCCAGAATGAAAACACAGAATCTAAGGAAAGGCCCTAGAGCCCCACTGATCTCAGAAAAGGAAACTATTGAAAATGATATAAAGAACGGTGACAAGGTATTGATTTCTCGTAAAAGAGATGTTGTCATGTCGTCACAAGATCTAATAAAAAACAGAAATGATAAAGATAAATTATCGTCGTTATTTAGCAGTAGTCAAGAAGAATTGCAACGTGAAAAAATGTATACTGAATATATGACACAAATGGCAGAAAGAATGGAAAGAAAGCACCATAAGGTTATAAAAATTACTAACACACCCACTTCGATAAGGTCGATATCGAAAAGTATGCCCACACTTGAAAATTTTGATTCAAAGGTCAACAATAAAATTGAAAAAGAATTTATATCAAAGGCTAGGGAAAGATGGGAGAAATTAGGAATTAGGGACCCCGATACGGAAGATGAGCGTGAAGTTAGTAGGAAAGTATTCAAAGAACCTAAAATAATTGAACACAAAATTAAGGTTATCGAAAGTGGTGAAGAAAAGGATGTCCAAAACTTGCCTAGTCATTTGCAAGACTTCATTCATTTTACAATTAAGGACAAGGGCGAAGAAACAAATAGCTCTGGTGAGTCAGAGAATGCACCGGCATCTCCGCACGTTGTGATTTGGTGTGCAGTGTTAATAATAATTATTTCCATCGGAAAGTATTTTATGCGTTTGTTGAGGAATAGTGAATGATGTGATCGACTAACAGACTGTTCAGCTGCTATACCCATTAACTAAAATAATAGCATATTGTTTTTTCTAGTGATGTAAATGTTGTATTTGTTGTGTTGCATGAACATTTGTATATTTTATAGAAACCTATTGATTAGATAGTAGCTGCGGATACTCAAGCATCACACCATGAGTACCAGTTCCTTATATAATCAAGGTGAGTAAATATCCATAGGTATATTTTGATTGTTTTCGCTACTAAGTTTTTTATTGTTTTCCCTCGACGTAAATGTACAGCATTGATCACACAGTCATATGTCATTAGATATTTCTCTTTTTCATTAATTAGAAAAATCTTAGCACATCTATGCGAAATTGTATGAATAAGTACGAATAATATTATTATTAGGTAGACATATTCTAAATTAGCTGCAAATTCTTGCGAATATTACCTATGCGTAAAGAGCCCACATGCTTCCTGTCTACGACTGAACAATTTTCTAATTGAAATACTGAATGATTGTTCTATTTAGTTTCATTGTCTAAAACGGTATTGTCTAAAGTTACTTTTTAAACTAAAGTCTATCCGACCAAATACTTAATTTAAGAAACTTATTTAATAGTAATATTAAGATAAACGTTGAACAATCCGAACTTTTTGTTTATTCTACATTACTTTGATACTATATTTTTAATAAAGTACCACAAATATTTCTTAATTTAATAAGTTTTTTATAGCTTAAAAAGGGCAGATACCATTATAGCCCACCTAGTATTAAACTTTGCCGAAACACATAGGTATACAGATTTCACAAAGCGAATACCCCCTTGAAATATTTCATTCCTTAAATTGGTGGACGAGCTCATGGCCCATCTGGTGATAAGTGATCAACGGAGCCCGCTGACATCAACAAGGCAAATGCCGTCACTCACCTTGAGACTGAATTCTAAGTCTCCGTTATTAAAATACAATGGCTGCTCCATCCTTCAAATCGAAATGCTTCACGGCAAAAATAGTTAGGGTCATGGTACCTACCCGAGCTGGCCCATAATACACCGTACGGCCAGTAATTAGGTGCGCAAATTCATAAGTAGGTATTGCGAGTTATTTTTACTATACGGTATAATTCCTTCATCGTCGAGGTCATTCGTAAAAACGAGTATCTTTGTATTTTATCGTATGTATCTTGTATTTACTTAAAAATTGTTACCTGCCTGCAGAACTTTAACCCTGACAACATTCAATAGGATTTATACTCAGCGTTTTACCCGGACGGCCACGAACTCTTACAGTCCGAACTAATTCAGTTCAGTCTTTTTATTCTTGGACTTCTTGTTATTCATTACAATACAACTTTTTGTTTTACGTAATTTAAACAAAGAACATTTCTGTTTTGTAAATCTAATGACACTATTGTGACGTTGTTTATTTTGTTTGTGACTATGACATCGCTACAATAACGATCGCCTTGTAAAGTGTCAATGCACGTAGTTGAAAGGATTTGACACTAAAATGAGCCTTTCTTTAACAGACAGCATTTCATATATAGCTGTTTGCAATATTCCGGTTGCGAGATAAAGGTCTTATCTTGGTGCTGAATACCTACGTTAGTACAAAACATTATGATAATTAGATAGTTTGAATATCGAGCTCGACTAATAAATAATTAGGAATGATAACAACTTCGCGATAACATTGTGGGATCTATATATATATAAAAATGAATTGCTGTTCCTTAGTCTCGCTAAAACTCAAGAACGGCTGGACCGATTTGGCTAATTTTGGTCTTGAGTTATTTGTGGAAGTCCAGAGATGGTTTAAAAGGTAGATAAATATGAAAATGCTCAGAATTAAATAAAAACAAACAATAATGTTTTTCTTTTGCACGGATACTTTTTGTTTTTTTTTTCTAAGTTTATTTAATACCAAAGTTTAGGTCTTTTATTTATCGATTGAGGCACTACGAAGTCTGCCGGGTCAGCTAGTAATATATAAAAATTACGAGAAAGTTTTCCTAATGCCAACAAGAATATTTCGCTTACCGAGACAAGCAAGTGCGTCGCCCGTGAAAATATTTGGATCGTCTAAATCTGGGCTAAGTGGCCTTTGGTGACTCAAGACGCGAACGCATACCCAGTTATTTCGCGCATCATCGAAACGAATTCGATAAACAGTTTACGAAAAACATCGTGTAGCAGCAGATCTTGTCACGCAAACAAACGTACATAATAAATTAGCATTTATTTAGCGGCAAATAATAATTACGTGACCAAAACATTCGTTGCGGTTCTCAGTCGGTATTGTGAACAAGTTAAAAGCAAATATCTCCAGTTTGCGAATTACTAAACTGTAATATATAGAAAGTAAACTTCTTGGCGGACATGCAGAAGAATAACCTTACCCAAAAGGCTGCCGAAGACCTGCCAAAGTGGAGGTGGTTAAGGAAAACGGACCCTGGTATTAGACCGAGAAAACGATAGGAAGAAGAAAATATTACTAAACTGTGCTAAAAAAAATTGACAAAGTGTAAGGTGCGTTTGGCTTTTAAGGGAATTAATATGAACTAGGTCGACCGGAAAACATATCTTAGGTTTTTTTAGGTTGACCTCATACAACACGTGAGCACTGAAACTGTTTGCCGTTAAGATCTATTTTCAAACCTTTGGTATTAACACAGTCAAGACAATCTATTTAATTTCCAATTACAAAACCAAACATAATGATATACTTTTTCGATTTTTTAAATATCTTTTAAAGTTATTCTCATTTTTCAGAGTAATGAACCCCTTCTCTGCCAACAATAGGTTATATATACACTTATATTAAGAAAGTTCCAGAAAAAAATCTTATACATGTGTAATTCTTGCAAAAGCTCTTAGTTTTGGAATTTGATTACGACTATATTTGTGCCTGTTTCCAGATAATATTTTAGGCAAACAATTATAGCATATGGATATTAAATCGTCATAATATAGAAAATTTTAAGAACACGTCATACGAGTGGTTACGATATCGATTATTATTTCATTTTGGGTTTGATAAAAGTTTCAAGTGTTGCTGCAACACATAGACACTACGTCACTACAACGTTTTTGCTTCTGTTCGCTTTCAATATCAAAAATCGAAATCGAATTTTTATTGATATGATGTCTAGCTCAGTATTCGAATCAAAATCCCTTGTTGTTTTTCTTTAGGAATAGGTAAAACAGATTTCTATCCGTATATCTGATATCCGAACCACAAGCCACCCTAGCCCCGGTAATGAATTCGTTAAGTCTGCGGGTTTCATTTGATTGCGGGGGTTTCTTGTGTACAAAGTGTGTTAAAACAATCATATCGGTCCTAGGATCGATTTATGGCATAGTTTATACAGCTTTGGGGACGCGGAAAAACGACTAGCTACATTTAAAAATGAAAGCCTAATAATTAAATATTATTACTTTAAAGCCCAGTGTTGATCTTGATAAAATTAATCGTGACTCGTTATCGATCACGTCAGTTCAATATTTTATATCGACGTTAAAAAATTAAAACATTACGTAAAACTAAAATTTACGTTTAGATGCATTGCTCTGCCAACGATCATAAATTTCATCCGTAACATCTACCCACCACTATTACGTTTATTCGGAATAAGCCAGATTGCAATGCAACTGTGCTTCTAAATACGTTCTGCGTATTTGTAAACATGGTAATTTTCCTGTCCTCATTTTAGGCTTAGATGACCTTTTTATAAAATTGTAGACACTAGACCATACTTATCTCTACCCAAACCTTTAACCCGTTAATTATTTGGTCGGGAATCTCTTTTCTTCTAATAAGTGAAAATTAGCTAGTAGGTAATATAAGCCTTAATCGTATTATTTTGTAGCGTAGTTTCTAAAGATATATCATTGTGTATATTTTAAGATCATTGTGTAATTTAGCAACTGGCATATGTTAATAAAATAGATCGAATCCAATTAAGATCAAATCCCACTGCAGTGTGATAGGTACCTAATATTCTGATCACGTAATAGGTCAAATCATTAGTAGATAAACTGACCTAAACACTTGTTATATTAAACACATTACTTGTTATTGTGTTATACATAATATTATAAATAATATGTGTACCTAATATTGAAAATGCAAGTGCCCGTTTAGTATTTACAAGTTTGGGATATTTGTACTGTTACATTATTAATCTAATTGTAAAGTATTTGACAAACTGAGTTGCTGTGGAGGACTGCAGTCCACACAATTTTCAGGTGGCTAATCAAACGAGTCATCAAGGAGGTACGTAATGTGACGCGTCGGGGGTCCCCAACAAAGAGAGAATGTCAAAGAGCCCGCAGCCGCTCCGGAAGCGATTTGACTGCGGATCTGACGTCATACTAGGGTCGCAGTTCTCATAAAAGTTCCTATGTTCCCCTTTATATACCAAACAACTTTAAAATGTACTAAGATGATCACAGTGAAGTTAATCACAATATTATACAAGTTTTTTTTTTCTTAACGCTTTGCCACAAAAATGTGTATCAGGCACATATTCGACGGTCGTCGTAAATTTTAAATGTACTTTTTATAAGTAATACATAACCCCTTAGTAATCATTCATTATTAATATGTGAATATTACGCGTATAATGCTGCTTTTTTGTCTAGTAGGTATTTTTAATTTGACTTTATCGCTTTACTGCCATCTGTTGGCGCAATATGAAACTTACGATAAGTTTCCATTTATCAATACAAGATGGCAGAGCTCTTCATCGAAGAAAATCTTGGTAAAAACTCGTAATCAGATGAAAACTTGCCAATGGTTTTTCGTAACACTACTCAGAATTGGCATTCGTCTTACAATAAACCTACGATGTTACGATAATAGATTCACTAATATTAGAAATGTTAACATATTATTCAACAGTA